TGGATAAGAAAACAAGATCCACCTATATGCTGTTTACAAGAGACGCACTTCAGACCTAAAGACACCTTCAGATTCAAAGTAAGGGGATGGAGATCCATCTATCATGCTATTGGTTGACAAAAGAAAGCCAGAGTAGCCATACTTAAATCAAACAATCTAGACTTTAAAATAAAGACTGTAACAAGAGATGAAGAAAGGCATGATATCATAATTTAAGGGGTCTACCCACCAAGAAGACCTAACAATTGTAAACACTTATGCTCCAAATGTGAGAGCACCCAAATACATAAATCAATTAGTCACAAATGTAAAGAAATTCATAGATAATAATACCATAATAGTAGGGGACTTCAACACCTCACTTACAACAATGGAAAGATCATCTAATCAGAAAATCAACAAGGAAACAATGGCTTTGAAGGACACAATGAACCAGATGGACTTAACAGATATATTCAGAACAGCAGCAGAATATACACTCTTCTTCAGTGCACATGGAATGTTCTCCAGTATAGATCACATACTGGGACACAAATCAGCCCTCAACAATTACAAAAAGATCGAGATCATACTGTGCATATTTTCAGACCACAATGCTATGAAACTCGAAATCAACCACAAGAAAAAATTTGGAAAGGTAACAAACACTTGGAGACTGAAGAACATCCTATTAAAGAATGAATGGGCTAACCAGGAAGTCAAAGAGGAAATTAAAAAGTACATGGAAGCCAATGAAACTGATAACACCAGACCCCAAAACCTCTGGGACACAGCAAAGGTGGTCATAAGAAGAAAGTATATAGCAATCCAGGCCTCCCTAAAGAAGGAAGAAAGGTCTCAGAGAGACAACCTAACCTTACACCTTAAAGAGCTGGAAATAGAACAGCAAAGAAAACCCAAAACCAGCAGAAGACAGAAAATAATAAAGATTAGAGCAGAAATTAATGCTACTGAAACAAACAAAAAAAAAAACAAAAACAAAAACAAAACAAAAAAAACCCCCCAAAAAACAAACAAAAAAACCCAAAACAGATCAATGAAATCAGAAGCTGGTTCTTTGAAAGAATTAACAAAATTGATAAAACACTAGCCAATTTGATCAAAAAGAAAAAGGACACAAATAAAATCAAGAATGAAAGAGGAGAGATCACAACCAACACAGCAGAAATAAATAAGAAAATATTATGAGCAATTATACACCAATAAAATGGGCAATCTGGAAGAAATGGACAAATTCCTAGAAACATATAAACTACCAAAGTTGAAACAGGAAGAAACAGAAAATTTGAACAGACCCATAATCAGTAAAGAAATCGAATTAGTAATCAAAAATCTCCCCAAAAACAAGAGTCCAGGGCCAGACAGCTTTCCAGGGGACTTCTACCAAACATTTAAGGAAGAGTTAACACCTATTCTCTTGAAGCTGTTCCGAAAAATAGGAATGGAAGGAAAACTTCCAAACTCTTTCTATGAAGCCAGCATTACCTTGATTCCAAAACCAATTCCAACAATACATTAAAAAAAGTATCCATCACGATCAAGTAGGATTTATACCTGGAATGCAGGGCTGGTTCCATATCTGTAAAACAATCAATGTGATTCATCACATCAGTAAAACAAAGGGTAAGAATCACATGATCCTCTCAACAGATGCAGAGAAAGCATTTGAAAAAATACAGCATTCTTTCTTGATAAAAACCCTCAAGAAAGCAGGGATAGAAGGATCATACCTCGAGATCATAAAAGCCATATATGGAAGACCCAATGCTAATATCATCCTCAATGGGGAAAAAGTGAGAGCTTTCCCCCTAAGGTCAGGAACAAGACAGGGATGTCCATTCTCGCCACTGTTATTCAACACAGTATTGGAAGTCTTCGCCTCAGCAATCACACAACACAAAGACATAAAAGGGATCCAAATCAGCCAAACTTTCACTCTTCGCAGATGACGTGATACTCTATATGGAAAATCCAAAAGATTCCACCAAAAAACTGCTAGAACTGATTCATGAATTCAGCAAAGTGGCAGGATAGAAAATCAATGCACAGAAATCGGATGCATTCCTATACACCAACAATGAAGCAACAGAAAGAGAAATCAAGGAATTGATCTCATTTATAACTGCCACCCAAAACCATAAAATACCTAGGAATAAATCTAACCAAAGAGGTGAAAAATCTATACACTGAAAACTACAGAAAGCTTATGAAAGAAATTGAAAAAGACACACAAACAAAAGGAAAAACATTCCATGCTCCTGGAGAGGAAAAATAAATATTGTTGAAATGTCAATACTACCCAAAGCAATCTACAGATTCAATGCAATCCCTATCAAAATAACACCAGTATTCTTCACAGAGCTAGAACAAATAATCCTAAAATTTGTATGGAACCAGAAAAGACCCCGAATAGCCAAAGCAATCTTGAAAAAGAAAACCAAACCAGGAGGCATCACAATCCTGGACTTCAGGCTGTATTACAAAGCTGTCATCATCAAGACAGTATGGTACTGGCACAAGAACAAACACTCAGATCAATGGAACAGAATAGAGAACCCAGAAATGGACCCAAAAACGTATGGCCAACTAATCTTTGACAAAGCAGGAAAGGATATCCAATGGAATAAAGACAGTCTCTTCAGCAAATGATGCTGGGAAAACCGGACAGCGACATGCAGAAGAATGAACCTGGACCACTTTCTTATACCAGACACAAAAATAAACTCAAACTGGATGAAAGACCTAAATGTAAGACAGGAAGCCATCAAACTCCTCGAGGAGAAAGCAGGCAAAAACCTCTTTGACCTTGGCCGCAGCAACTTCTTACTCAACACGTCTCCGGAGGCAAGGGAAACAAAAGCAAAAATGAACTACTGGGACCTCATCAAAATAAAAAGCTTCTGCACAGCAAAGGAAACAATCCGCAAAACTAAAAGGCAACCGACCGAATGGGAGAAGATATTTGCAAATGACAAATCAGATAAAGGGTTAGTATCCAAAATCTATAAAGAAGTTATCAAGGTCAACACCCAAAAAACAAAGAATCCAGTGAAGAAATGGGCAAAAGACATGAATAGACACTTCTCCAAAGAAGACAGCTAGATGGCCAACCAACACATGAAAAAATGCTGAACGTCACTCATCATCCGGGAAATGCAAATCAAAACCACAATGAGATACCATCCTACACCTGTCAGAATGGCTCACATTAACAACTCAGGCAACAACAGATGTTGGCGAGGATGCGGAGAAAGAGGATCTCTTTTTCATTGCTGGTGGGAATGCAAGCTGTTGCCGCCACAAACAGTATGGATGCTCTTCAAAAAATTAAAAATAGAATTATCTTAGGACCAAGCCATTGCACTACTAAGTATTTATCCAAGAAATAAAGGGATGCTGTTTCGAAGGGGCACATGCACCCCAATGTTTACAGCAGCACTATCAACAATAGCCAAAGTATGGAAAGAGCCCAAATGTCCATCGATGGATGAATGGAGAAAGAAGATGTGGTATATATATACAATGGAGTATATTACTCGTCAATCAAAAAGAATGAAATCTTGTCATTTGCCACTACGTGGATGGAACTTGAGGGTATTATGCTAAGCGGAAAAGCGAAATTAAACAGTCAGATAAAGACAAATATCATATGACTTCATTCATATGAGGACTTAAGACACAGAAGGGATAAACACAAGGGAAGGGCAGGGAAGCAGGGAGGGATGTGGGATTTCGGGAACATGGAGGGGGACAAAACATAAAAGACTCTTCAATATGGAGAACAAACAGAGGGTTACTGGAGGGGTTGTGGCAGGGGGATGGGCTAAATAGGTAAGGGCATTAAGGAATCTACTCCTGAAATCATTGTTGCACTATATGCTAACTTGGATGTAAATTAAAAATTAACAAATAAAAAACAAAAACAAACAAACAAACAAAACCACTCAGGGGTTCAGTGATTTGCTCTAAGTCAGACAGCTGTCAACAGAGTGAAGTTGAGACTCTATTAGGTCTGTTTGACCTGGAAACCTATGTTTTTCCTATTAGGTTGCAAGATGCAGCTCATAGGTGACAGGACTGAGGAGGGAACATAGCTGGTAAGAGGGCTGAGCTGGGGTTCAAATTCAGGGCATGCGGTGAGAGTCCAAAACTGCGTTTTCCAACCCCATACACGTTGTTTCCTTTCAAGGGTTTTCAGCCCGTCTCATCTCTCCGAGCACCCTGAGGTCTTGGGGATGTGTTTCGAGTTTCCGTTTCACCCCTGGAAGGCACCCAGAACGGAGTTCAGCCTTGCCGAGGAGGTAGGCTGGCCGCCCCTCGACCCCCACCCTGGGCGGCCGTCGGCCCCAAATGTGAACAGCAGGCGGCTCTGCACCCGCTGCCGCCAGCCGGCCGGGTGCCGCCTACCTGTCGCGGGGCGGTCAGGGTCCCGTCCACGTCGAAAAGGCATAGCGCTGGGCCAGACGCCGCCATGTCCCCCGTTTCCAGCCGCACTTGATGAGACTCGTTGGCAACCAGGAACTCGGCCCGGAACTTCCGGGCTCGGCCCCCGTGCCACAGGGCACGCTGGGAGAAGGAGGATCCATTCCCACGTGTCTGGGACTAGAGTCAGTTGGTCTTTAGGAACCACAAATCCCAGAATGCAATGCGTCGACACGCCGACCTCCTACGGCCGAGCAGGCCCTCTTAGAGGTTCCGGGGGCGGGGGGAATCACTTCCGGCGGCAGGTATCCGCGCGATGGTAAGAAGGCGGGTGAGGGGAAGTACGGGGGGTGAAGCGCCTTGGGGGTCGTGGTCAAGGTTAGGCAGGCAGGCGGATTTCTGGGGTTCTGATTTGGAGGATCCGCGGGAGGGAGCTCCGGCGTGGGTTAAGGCTTGCTGTGCCGCGCCTTTCTACGCCCGGGCCACGTGGGCCGACAGGGCACTCTCCGATCATCACAAACCTGGGGTCCATTGAATGTATTTCAGAGCTTTGAAACCATGATCTCATGTGGTATGTTGTGAACCCCCATTGTGAAAGGGGAAGAAGCCGAGGCCCAGAGAAGTGAAGTAACTTACACAAGGAGCTACAGCTAGTGACTGGCCCCCAAGTCCAAAGCATCTGTCGCTGCCCTACTCAGGGTGTAGAACGGTGCACCTAATAAAAACCTTGTGCTGTGGGTTGGCGCCTCCCATCCCCGCCTGCTTTGGTCTTCCCCCTCCCCCAAACAGGGCTAAGAAATCAGCGGTTCCCTTCAGCACCGAAGATGGTGCTTTAACCTGACAGAATGGGGAAATTATTATGGTAAGTATCGCAGAGATTTGTTACCCATTTGGACATTTGTTGTTTGGCTTCCTGCTGGGGAAAACGTTCATATAGCCTTACGTCTTCAGTGCCCAGCCCAGAGCTGGTCGTCCCTAGATACGTGTTGAATGAATGAAGGCTGTGTCGCCTTTCTTGTACCTCTTTGAACTCCCTGAAGGATATAGGACCAGTTTGGGGGTCAGACTCTGCCACACTCACTGGGTGTGCGTCTTTGGGTATGTTTCTAGCCTTCTCTGGGTTTAGTTTTCTCCGTGGTAAAGTACAGTTGACCCTTGAACAATGCGGGTTTGAACTGTGTGGGCCCACTTCTTCGCAGATTTAAAAAAATACATATGTTGTGAAGTTTTTTTTGGAGATTTGCTCCAATTTGAGAAAACCAGCAGATGAACTGCATAGCCTAGGAATACTGGAAAAAAAAAAAAAGATGTATCATGAATGCATAAAATATATGTAGATGCTAGTTTATCATTTACTTCCATGAAGTATACACAAGTTTGTTACAAAAAGGTTTATCAAAATGTACAGACTGTACATGGCATCATTCATAGTTGAGAGAAATGGAAACAAAGATGCAGTGTTAAATAACTGCATAAAATTAACTGCAGTACATACTCTACGACTGTAAGAATATCATAGTCACCTCCTCTTGCTGTGGTGATCTCAAGTGTTGTGATTTCCAGGCTTAAAACCGTGTGTTGCTAATCCTCTCCGCAAGATCAGTTCGTCACTCGTAAATTTCAAATGGCTGTAAAAAGTGATCCCGTGGTTCTTGCATATTTTTCATCATGTTTAGCATAATACTGTAAACCTTGAATAACACCATGGGACCCATACGAAACGCCACTGGTGATTCTGGAAGTGCTCCCAAGAGGCAGAGAAAGGTCATGACATTACAAGAAAAAGTCGAATTGCTTGACATGTACCGTAGATTAAGGTCTGCGGCTGCAGTGGCCCGTCATTTCAAGATGAATGAATCCAGCGTAAGGACCATTGTAAAAAAGGAAAAGGAAATCCGTGAGGCTGTGGCGGCAGCTACGCCAGCAGGCGCGAGAACGTTGCACTTTCTGCGAGACAGCTTTTTATCTCGTATTGAAAATGCAGCTTTTACGTGGGTGCAGGATTGCTATAAGAAAGGCATACCTATAGACTCTAACACGATTCGAGAAAAAGCAAAGTCATTGTATGACCACTTACAGCAAAAGGAAGGTGAAGGATCCAAGGCTGGAGAATTTAGTGCCAGCAAAGGATGGTTTGATAATTTCAGAAAGCGGTTTGGCTTAAAAAATGTCAAGATAGCAGGGGAAGCAGCTTCCCCCGCCCAAGAGGCAATAGATGAGTTGCCACCTCAGGCGCCCAGAGTCACCACACCAGAGGAGTTAACAGAGGGTGAGTCGGTGGAGGCGAGAGCTTCCGGACCGGTGCCGGATGAAGATGCGCGAGAAGCGGCTCCAGAAAACAAGTTGACGTTAGACAACCTGGCAGAAGGGTTTCGATTATTCAAGACGGCTTTTGACTTCTTTCACAACATGGACCCTTCTGTGATACGGGCACTGAGACTAAAGCAAGTGGTGGAAGAAGGGCTGGTACCATATAGAAACATTTTTAGAGAGATGAAAAGGCAGAGAAGTCAAACGGAAATTACAAGGTGTGTCCGTGAAGTTACACCGGGTGTGCCTGCCCCTCTTGCCTCCTCTTCCACCTCCTCTAGCTCTGCCTCCGCCTCCCCTGAGACGGCCAGACCAGTCTGTCCTCTGCCTCGCCCGCAGCCTGCTCAGCGTAAAGATGACGAGGACGAAGACCATACTAAATAGTCGTCATGCCGTACGGTTAAACTGACCTGTTGTGTGTGTGTGTGCGCGAGTGTCTCCGTGTGAAAATCTGGTAACTGTACGGCAGGAACTGTGTAGGACTGCATCATCGCCTGGATATTCATTGGGCAGGACGTCATATGCAAGATTCGCCTGCAAGCGGATGGCCTGTCCTTAGAGGCATAAGGTGGGTGATAATTTAATATAAAATTAATGATGTGTCTTATTGTTTTGTCACGTTGCTCTCAAAGAGTTACGTTGGGGTCCAGTATGCCCCCCTCTCCTATCTGGAGAGACGGCATATCAGCCCATCGTCACAGCTAAGTGGTTTTTTAAAAAACAGTGTTTCCAGTAGTGTGTATTATGAATCCAACTGGAACACGGTAGGCCACGAAAATTTTCTAACCATTCATTCCTTAGTGTATAGGCGAGGCCCCTGTGAAACAGCCGTATGGTTACACAGGGTTACACTAGGCTACCATCAAAGGATCCTACTAGTGCGTCTTTGTTATCAATCCTTTAATCATCCTACTTATAAATAAATAGGCATCCCCCTTATTATCTATTTTTGTGTCTAGTGTTGGCAGGTAACAAAACACCTGTTGATGTTTCGTATCCTGTAAGGCAGTATTGATTTATGTACTGACAGACGATTCATCTTGTGAACAACGTAAACTGAATGGTCTGGATGATACAGTACAGCTCCGTAAATGTGTTTTCTCTTACGGTTTTCATAATCTCGTTCTTTTTTCTAGCTGACTTTGCTGTAAGGATACAGTGTATGATACATGTAATACACAAAATATGTGATAATCGACTTACCGGTTTAGGTCCTGGTCAGCCGTAGGCTATTAGTAGTTAGGTTTTTGAGGAGTCAAAAGCTACATGTGGATTTTTGACTGCATGGGGGTGGCCGTCCCTCACGCCTCCGTTGTTCAAGGGTCAACCGCAGGGGGCGCCTGTCTTGCACCGCTTGTATGAAGATCACGTGAGTTAAAGCATCTGGCTTTCTCTGTCCCTCCGTCTCTGGCAGTAACGGCAGCCTCGCAGGGTTGGCGGGAGCTTGTAGGTGAGATGCTCCGCAAACGTTCGTCGCGTGATCAGCATGGCTGAGTTCCCTGAGAGCAGTGGTCTCCTTTCTCCCTTCCAGGCTGCCCTCCTCCGCGCTGTGCTTCGGCGGCCCGGCCCGGCCCTGTGGAGAAGGCCTGTCTGCGGGCTGTGGTGCCGCACAGCCACCGGCCGGGATCCGGGGAGGTGGGTGGGGAGCGGGTGCCCCGCCCCGAAGGAGAAAGCGGCAGGTGCGGAGACAGAGAACTTCCAGATGGTCTACCGGTTTGACGCCATCAGAGCCTTCGGGTACTTGTCTCGGCTGAAGGTGGCACAGACGGCCCTCACGGTGCTGGCCCTCCCGCCTGGCTGCTACTGGTACTTGCAGGGCTTCGTGACGCTCGGCTCCCTGTGTGTCGCGGGCGGGGTGGCTGGCTTTGCCCTGGCCATGCTCTGCTGGATGAGCTATTTCTTCCGGAGGCTGGTGGGCATCCTGTATGTGAACGAGGCGGGCACTGTGCTGCGGGTGGCGCACCTGACCTTCTGGGGCCAGCGGCAGGACACAGACTGCCCCGTGGCCGACGTGATCCCCATGACGGAAACCAAGGACCGGGCCCAGGAGCTGTTTGTGCGTATCCAGCAGTACAGTGGGAAGCAGACCTTCTACCTCACCCTTCGCTACGGACGCATCGTGGACAGAGAGCGTTTTGCGCAGGTGTTTGGGACGCTGGACTCCCTCAAGTGAATTGGGAGCTGGGTCTCCAGCAGGAAGGCCGAGGATGAAATGGGATCGGGCACCTGAAGGCTTCGGCAGGGCGTCTGGGCACCCGTCTTTTGGGATGCACAGAGTCCTAAGACAGAAGCTAGTGATCGCGTTTCGGAAAGAGGCCGTTAGTACCAATTCATACTGCATTTGTGTGACATTTAGTCAGATAACGGCCAGAAGTTCACAGCTGGTTCTCGGAGGAAGCTGTGTCCGGTTCACTCAGGCAGGGCAGTGCTGCGAAATCGGAAGTCAGGGAGGTGAGGCAGAGCAAGCTCAGGACGTGGCTTGAGCAGACACGGGTGCTGTCAGTTCTCGACTGCCTGTCCTGGAGTCCCCGTATCTCTCAACCCTGGTTTTCCCATCTGAGAAAGGGAAAAATCCTGTCTCCTGGCATGGGTGTGAAAATAAACGGTAAATGTCAAGGTCAGTACAAAGGTGACTTGTGCTGAAAAGCTTCCAGGCAGTCACTAGGGCTTACCCGAGGCCTGTGCCACCCCCATCGGGCCTCAGCAGCAGGAAAGGACGGGAAGAAGCCCAGGTAGAGTTGGGTCGTGTGACCGCGGCGGAGGGTGCTGGCCAGGCGAGCGCCGCATCCCTTTGCCAAGGTTGTGGCCTGGGGCCCTCCTGTCTGAAGGCTCTGGTGGATAAAACCAGGCGAGCTGTGTTCTGGTGCGTTCTTTTATAAGCTAAAGCTAGTTGTGTGCACGATTAGTGGTTAGTAAAAGATGTTTGTTTCACAGTCTGTAGCAAAATAAAGAGGAAGGAAGAGGTGATCGTCAACAGTTCCACCACTCAGAAGTCAGTGACTAGATGCTTTATTGTGGGGACTTCCAGTCTTTTATTGTGTTAAAACACACATCATGTAAATGTATTCCTTCAGCCATTTTTGAATGTACACTTCAGTGGTATTAAGGACGCCTACAACGTGGTGCAGCCATCACATCTGCTCGTTTCCAGAACGTTTTCATCATCCCAAGGAGAAACTCTGTACCCATTAAACGGTCACTCCCCATCTCCCCCTCCCTCCGGCCTCGTAACCACTCATCTGCTTTCTGTTTCCGTGGATTTGCTTTTCCTGGACATTCCACGTAAACGGAATCGCCCACTGTGGTTTTGTGTCTGGCTTCTTTCACCTGGCGTGATGGTTCAACGTGCATCCATGCTGTAGCCTGTGTGAGAGCCTCATTGCTTTTTGTGGCTGGATAACCACAGTGTAGACCACAGTTTGCTTATCTGTCTGTCGATGGACATTTTGATAGTTTTCCACCTTTTGGCTGTTGGGAACAGTGCTGCTGTCAGAGTTGGCGCACGAGTCCCTGCTGTCGCTTCTTTTGGGGCTCCTGGATGCCGACAGGCAGACAGGCGGAAATATTGGATCTTACGGTGACTGTGCAAGTTTTTGAGGAACCGCTGAACTTTCCCACAGCCGCCATGTCCTTTTTTACCCGTCTCAGCCGTCCACGAGGGTTCTGGCTCCTCCACATCCTCCTGATGGGCAGGAGGTGGTATCTTACCGTGCTTTCAGGCTTTTTAAAAACATGGATGTTATCCTGTACCTGGAATTGTTTTTTTGCTTCATGTAACATAGCTATCTTACTTGTAAACACATTAAAAATATTCTGTCACAAGAAAAAAAGATACCTCATTACTATGTGAGATGCCTGATGTTAACTGACCTTGTCATAATCGTTTTGCGATATATACGTGCATAAATCATTACGTTGTACACACTAAGCTGATACGATGTTATATGTCAATTCTATCTCAGTAAAACTGGGGAAAGTTAATTATTTTTGAAGGAGAGAGAGACCGAGTGTGAGTGGCTAACGGGAGAGAGAGCGGGAGACACAGAATCCGAAGCAGGCTATGGGCTCTGAGCTGTCAGCACAGAGCCTGACACGGGGCTCAAACTCACAGACCGCGAGATCATGACCTGAGCCAAAGTCAGGTGCTTAACTGACTGAGCCACCCAGGAGCCCCAAATCCTCCTTAAAAAAATTTTTTTTTTGTCTATTTATTTTTTAAAATATTTTTAAATCTCTGAGAGAGAGAGAGAACAAGAGCGAGAGAGTGCACAAGCGACCAGGGGAAGGGCAGAAAGAGGTGGACAGAGGATCTGAAGTGAGCTCCGTGCCTACAGCAGAGAGCCGGATGTGGGGCTTGAACTCACAAGCTATGAGATCATGACCTGAGCTGACGTCAGATGCTTAACCGGTTGAACCACCTAGGTGTCCTTTATTTTTTTGAAGTCGACCCCACACCCATTGTGGGGCTCGAACTCCCCAAGATCAAGAGTCGCACGCTCTACTGACTGAGCCAGCCAGGCGCCCCTCATTCGAATCATACTCTTTATGCAAAAACAAATTCAGTGGATGTGGTTGGTCCTTCACTTTTTATTTTCTTTTTAAAATTTATTTACTTAGTGTGAGCAAGGGAGGAGCAGAGAGAGGGGGAAAGAGAGAATCCCAAGCAGGCTCTGCACTGTCACTGCAGAGCCCATCGTGGGGCTCGATTTCATGAACCATGAGATCATGACCTGGAGCCAAAATCAAAAGCCTGATGCTCAACCAGCTGAGCCACCCAGGTGCCCTGAAAACAGCACTGTTTAATTTGTGTTCAGTTTTAGTTAAAGATGCAAATGAAAGGTGGTAGGATCATGGATTTGAATTCTTTATTAAATTCCAGCTGGTGTGAATTCATTCCTGTGGTTGGAGACCAAAGTCTGGGGAGTGTGTGGTTGTGTCCCTCAGATGTTTGGGGACACTGGGCACCCACTGCCTGGGCATATCTGTGGTTTTCCCAGACACAACGGCTCTGCACACAGGAGAACCCCCACTGAGCAGGGACCCAGAGCCTGGGTGTGGGCCTGGGCGTCCCCGGGGCCTCTTTCTTCAAGGTAAATGGCATGTGGTTCCATTGACTTGTTTTATGCGACTTTATTTAAACAACTTTTTTTTAATGTTTACTTATTTTTGACAGAGAGAGACAGAGCATGAGCGGGGGAGGGGCAGAGAGGGAGACACAAAATCCGAAGCAGGCTCCAGGCTCTGAGCTGGCATTACAGAGCCCGATGCGGGGCTCGAACTCACAGACTGTGAGATCATGACCTGAGGCGAAGTCGGATGTTTAACCGACTGAGCCACCCAGACGCCCCAATGCTGATTCTATTTTAAAACTATGACCAGAAGCTGACCACCTCTCACCCTGTCCACCTCCTGCCATTCTGATCCACACTGCCCTCGTATGTTCTCTGGGTTGTTGCAGCCTGCTGCTTCTATTATCCTTACCCATCTGGAGCCTGTTCTCACAGCAGCCAGTGATACTAAATAAATAAATAAACAAACAAACAAACAAAGCACGGCATTGCGGTAAAAACTAAAGTGCTCACCGTGGCCTACAAGGTCTAACGTGGTCTGGGTCCACCCCTATCCCCAGCTGTGTCTTATCCACAGCTCTGTCTTCAACCACTGCCAGTCATATCCAGTTTTCTGTTCCTTCAGTAATCAAGGATGCTCCAGCCTCAGGGTCTTTGCATTGGCAGTTCCCTCTGTCTGGACACCTTTCTCCCCAATGTCTGTATAGAGCACTCTCGCGCATGTGTGCTCTCCCCCCTCTCTCCCTCCCCTCCCCTCCCCTCCCTTCCCCTCTTTCTCTGTATAACAGGTGTTCTTTATGCTCAAGAAGTTGTTAGTGAAGATTCACTTGTATAGAGAAGAGTCAGTTACATAGCAATTACATGTAGCTCTTGGTTTCCTTCCATACTGTTCCCTCACCCGCTTACCAGCTCCTTCAAAGACTGTGAACCCCTTTCCCCAAAGACAGTCTTTGCCTATGAAATGTCTCAGGCGGTATTAACGATTTGACTTTGACCTCATTAAAGATAAGAATTAACTCAAATAGCCCCTGGTGTTGGTCTAGTTCTAAGCTATTAACCTGAGTGAACTCACCCCTGGAGATTTTAGTTATGTCAGGGGTGGGTCCCCAGAATCTGTATTTTGACAGAAAATTCTGACAGCCAATTCTGAAATGCAGCCAGGCTGGAATTTTAGTCTATTTCAGTCTATTTCTGAAATAGACTCTAGTAGACAGAAAACACCAGAGTAACTCATGCCTCTGTGGACTCTGTGTTCCCTGGCCAATTTTTTCCCCCCTTAAAGAATACGCTGTCAGCTCTGGTTCTGTGTGCAGAATCACCTGGGGGAGCTTTTTAAAAATATTGCTGCCCAGGCCCACGACCAGCCGTTGCCATGGTCAGGGCGATTCTTACCTGTAGCCTGGGTTGCCAGTCACTGCTCTGTAGTATCACCACCCTGGGAGGTGAAAACCCCGTCCTCACCAGCCCACCAGCCGTGGCATGAGAGAGCCTCCGTTTCGATGTGTGTCTGCTCACACAGTACCAGCAGAGGGCACACACAGCAAAGGCATCATGCATGCGTTCATTTCCGAGCCGGAATCGCGATCTCCACCTGACCGCGGCGGGACTTCAGCAGCACCATGAGGGCGGTCCCTGGGAGCCACCCAGGCTCTCTGGATCGACACCAGCAAAACTAGCAAAACCTGTGCTGAGTCCCTAAGGACGGATTCCGGTAGATGCTGGGGGGTTTGAATCTTTATGCTTCCCAGGTAACTCCAAGGCACCCTGACTTTTGAGAATGCCTGCGTGGGATTTACCCTTCCCAAAAGCCGTGCAGCAGATGAGAAAGCAGTGTCTCGGAAAATGCAAGTGGTCTTTAGGTTCAGGTGATGGATATGTGGGTGATTCCCCCACTTTGACAACAAATCCAAAATAATAATCTAATAGAAATACCCAAGGAGACCTACGAAGATGTTCACTGAGTGTTCCTAATAGCAAAACAAACAGCAATGACAAAACTGGAAATAAACGTTTTTAAAAGAAATTTTTAAGGTTTATTTGTTTTTGAGAGAGAGACAGAATGTGAGCGGGGGAGGAGCAGAGAGAGAGGGAGACACAGAATCCA